TGGGGGTTGGGTGGTGACCCTGAGGAGGAGCGAGGTCAGGTGATGACACACCCGGGGGCTTTACAGGCGGCTGGGGCCGTGGTGGCAGATGGGGCTGCTCTGCCACCGCCCACGGGGCCACGTGGGGCGCACGTTTGAGCGGGGCTTTCCCTGGACACTGGCTCTCAACCTGATGTGATCCCAACGGGGGATTTCAGGCACCTGCACGAGCTGGGGAGGGACGGTACCTGAGGGAAAGGCGGGGATTTGATCACCCTCAGATCCTCAGTTAATTTCAAAGGCAACTGGTGAGCTCCTCCAGTGAGCAGATGAGAGGCACACCCACCACCCACTGCTGACCTGACATCCGTGATGGGGCAAGGGACACCGTGCACCGCCCAGCTCCTGGCAGCCCTTCGGGCGGCACCCTCCGCCCACCCCTCTGCCCATCTCCGCTGTCACCCTCCCGCGCCTTGTAGCCCAGTTAGCTGCCCCCCCCCGGCCCCCAGAGACCAGAGAGGCGCAGGCCCACCAGGCAGATCCCACAGGGAGGGCTGGGGGGAGATGGGAGAGGGGCATGTGGGCGAGGGCAGGGTGCGGACAGGGAGTGAGCCCGCGGTGAGACGGAGGCTGCCTGACCGGCTGGTCTGCAACGGGGACGCCCCTGGAGAATTCCTTGCAGGAAACTCACCATCAGAAACCTTATTTGGGCCAATTGTGAGTGCCAGGTGCTGGCTCAGGCGTTTCACCTGGATTTCCTCTTTTAAGCCTCCCAAGGGCCCAGTGAGAGATATTAGCTCCCATTGGACGGCTGAGCAGGCCCCACATTCCAGCGGCAAGTGACGGGGTGCTGGGGCCTCAGTCTCTGACGCTGTGTCTGCAGGTCCCAGCGCTCAGTGAGCCTCACTGTGGGCACAAGCCTCACAGACAGTCTCTCTCTCTCTCTCTCTCTCTCTCTCTCTCTCTCTCTCTCTCATCCTCACCCAAGGAGAGAGGATATTGTTTTCATTGATTTTTTTTAAGAGAGAGTAGAAGGGAAAGGGAAAGGGGGAGTGGGAGACAGAGAGAGGGAGGGGGAGAGAGAGAGAGAGAGAGAGAGAGAGAGATCAAAGTGACAGATACACCGTTTGGTTGCCTCCCACATGCACCCCAACCAGGGGTGGGGATCCGACCTGCAGCCCATGAGGTGCCCTTGACCGGGAATCGAACCCATAACCCTCCAGTGTGCAGGCCGACACTCTAACCACTGAGCCACACCGGCCAGGGCAGGATCCCTCTTCATCATCCCAAGCGCCCTTCCTGGATCTCATCAGAGGGCACCGCTACGCTACACAGCCTCCCCTCCACCCCCAGAAGTGGTCTCGATCTTTACTCAGGTAAAACCTTTGACGGTGAGGGGGGTGTAAGGGGGGGCCAGCACAGGAGGCCCCAGCAGCCATGCGAACGAGCCACCATGGGGATGGCTTCTTCGGCCCCACCAAGCCTTCAGATGGCTGCAGCTGGCCAACATCTTCCCTGCAGTCTCATAGTGAACCCCAAGCTAGAACCCCCGGGCCCTGCCCCCACTCCCTGCGTGTTGGAGGAAGTTCTTACCCATCAGGAGATAAATGACACACGTTCCTTTCAGGGCCAGCGGCTTGGCCGTGCGGCTGTGGCACCTGTGCCTCTCTGGGCATGCTCTCTCCAGCTCGGACCCGCAACCGCCACGTCAGTGCGCTCAGCAGCCCCCCCGTGACGGTCCTTCGGGGATGGGGACTTGGCACGTCCTAGACCAGTGGTTCTCAACCTGTGGGTCGCGGTCCCTTTGGGGTTGAACGACCCTTTCACAGGGGTCACCTAAGACCATCGGAAAACACATATATAATTACATATTGTTTTTGTGATTAATCACTGTGCTTTACTTATGTTCAATTTTTAACAATGAAATTGGGGGTCACCACAACATGAGGAACTGTATTAAAGGGTCGTGGCATTAGGAAGGTTGAGAACCACTGTCCTACACAAATGTCTCAAAAATCCACTTCCCACCAGGGTTCAGGCCTAATGCCTCTCCCTTCACTCTCTGAAACAGCCTTGGCACTGATTCTTCGCACTGACTTTGTCTGACAACAAAATCCCCAAATCCCAGTGGGTTACACGGGACAGAAGTGCTTTTCCCACACCACGAAGGCCAGGGGCAGCGCTAGCATGAGCGGGGTGTGCCGCTGCCCCAGCACCCGCCTCTTTCCGACTGGCTGCTCTGTGATGCCCGGCTTTCATTCCCAAGGCTTCCTCATGATCTAAAATAGCTGCTGTGTTCCAGCCATCATGTCCCCTGTCCCGCCTTCAGAAAGGAGTAACTGGAGAAAAGAAACAAACAAACCCTCCCTCCCTTTAAAAACTTTGTTAGCACTGGCTGGCAGCTCGGTTGGTGGGAGTGTCCTTCTGATACACCAAGTTTGTAGCTTTGATCTCTTTTCAGGGCACATACAAAAATAAACCCATAATTACATAAATAAGTGGAACAGTAAATAGATGTATCTCTCTCTCACTCGCCCCCCTTTCCTCTCTCTGAAATCAACTAATAACATTTAAAAAAATAAAAACATGTTTATTTTGCACTGACCACATCTCATAAGAGAAATAAGGAAACACAGTCTCTTCTGAGGGTCACCATGTGCTCAGCTAAAAATAGCGGGTTAGCACTCAGGGAGAAGGCGACCAGGCCGGTGGACGACACCCTCCGCTGCTGCCCGTAACAGGGTGTTACTATCTCTTCTGTTTGTTTATTCTGCAGGATAAAGTAATATAAGCAGCTGAGCCCAGAGAGGACTCCGAGAAAGTTGGTGGTTGTGCCAGAAGCAGACGCTGCCCACCTTCTCCATTTATAAATATTTACAGTTATATCTTTTAAAATAACAAAGGAGGATGACCCCATGTTTCAAGGATGCAGTTCTTTTCCTGTTCAGTTCTTGGAATCAGGAAAAATTATTGCACCTTCTTGGCTTCAAACATAGGATAGAGGCTGTTTTCTCCCTTGTAAATATGAAATTGTCATTGTTGGGTCATGGTCATGGGAAACAAAGATGAAATACGTTTGAGCTGATAAGTTTTTTAAAAGTGACATAATAGCCGAAACCGGTTTGGCTCAGTGGATAGAGCGTCGGCTTGCGGACTGAGGGGTCCCGGGTTCGATTCTGGTCAGGTGCATGTGCCTGGGTTGCGGGCACGTCCCCGGTGGGGGATGTGCAGGACGCAGCTGATCAATGTTTCTCTCTCATCGATGTTTCTGGCTCTCTATCTCTCTCCCTTCCTCTCTGTAAAAAGTCAATAAAATATATATTTTTTAAAAAAGTGACATAATAATAAAGAATTAAAGATTCACTTTAAGATTTATCCTTTAAGATATGCACAGAATGTTAACAGTGAGTACACTGGCCTTCCCACCATATGTGGGTCACTACATATGTCTGTACCATTTGAACTTGAGCATAAGCATGGATTGACAGGTAAGTGGGGAAAAAAAAGACATTTAAAATAAGTAAAATATAGCCGATACTCTCCCTAAAAAAAATATGTGCACATTATAGAAAATACAGAAATATTTTAAAAGAGCATTTAAATTACCACAACTTTCTGCTTCAGAGAGATCCCAGTATTGCTATTTTGGAGTGATATCTTCAATTTTCTTCCTACACATAGATGTGTAGATAACTAGATTTCAAAACAAACAGGCTCCTTCTGAATATAGTTTTCCCCAAGATTTTATTATAAAAATTGTCAGACAGCCAAACTCAAAGAATTGTTCAGTAACCACTCATCCCCACCACCTAGACTCCCCCACGAATGGGTGTGCTGTCACTTGCTTTACTGCACGGTTATCCAACTGGATGTGCGCAGTTGGTTTTTCAAGTTATCATACAGTAACAGGGAGCTCTTCGGCGTGCACTTCTAGGGATTTACAGGTGCAGGCACATGTAACCCCCACATTCAGGATTCAGAAGAGTTCCCCATCCTCAAAACGCTCCCTCTTGCCCTCCCCAAACAGGCACCCCTCCCCCACGCCAAGCCCTGGAGCCGCTGCTCTGTTCTTATAGCCATTGTTTGTCTTTCCTAGAACATCATATAAATGGAAACATGCAGCATGTAACCTTCAGGGACTGGCTTCTTTCATCCACATCATTATGTGTAGCAAGAGCTGGTTCCTTCTGACTGCTGCGTAGTATTCCACAGTTCACTTACTCACTCTCCCAACCGGGGCTGCTTCCGGTTTGGGGTGAGCATTCTTGTGTGAACGTACGCTTCGTTTCTCCAGGGTAAAGATCTAGGATGGGATTGCCACCCGGGTTGCCGCTCAACCACTGAGCCACACCAGCTGGGCAGGATTGGATTTTTATAAAGTCTAATCTACCAATTTTTCCCATGGGGCTTGCTGTGTTGTGTTCAAGAACTCTTTGACTAACCCCAAATCATGAAGAGGTTTCTCCTATACTTTCTTCTAGATGTTATAACTTTAGGTTTTACATTTAGATCTATGATTCATTTTCAGTTAATTTTAGTGTAATGTGTGAGATTTAGGACAAGTTTAATTTTGGGGGGAGGGGGGTGTGTATAGGTGTCCAGTTGTTCCAGCTCATTTGTTGACAAAAACTATCCTTCCTCCACTAACTTGCTTTCGCACCTTTGTCCAAATCAATTAGCCGTATTTGTGCGGGTCTATTTCTTGAGCCTCTATTCTGCTTCATTGGTCTTTGTTGCCCATTCCTCTGCCCACCCATCCACCCAGCCATTGGTTGGCTCTTGTATGTACCCCGACTAGGAATGGAACCCACAACCTCGGTGCATCAGGACGACCCTCCAACCAACTGAGCTCCCTGGCCAGGGCACCACACTCGATTACTGCTGCGAGTCCTGTTGTAAACCCTAAAATCAGATAACACGATTCCTCCAACCTTATTCTCCTTTTTCAAAATTGTTTTAGGTGTTCTAGTTTCTTTGCCTTTCCACATAAATTTTAGAAGCAGCTTGTCTATATCTACAAAAATTCTTACTGGGAGTTGATTGGATTGTGTTCAACGGATAGATCCGTTTTATGGGTTGAATTATGTCCCCCAAAAGACAGGTTGCAGTCCACGCTGGGCCTAATATATCACCTCGGAACGTGACTATTTGGAAACAGGGTCACTGTCGATGTAATTAGTTAAGACGAGATCCTAGTGGAATAGGGCGGGTCCTTAACCCACTATGCCCGAGGTCCCCATAGAGAAGAAACACAGACACACGGGAGAAATCACACAACAGAGGCAGGTGTGAAGGCGCTACAGCTGCTGCCACGGAGCACCTAGAACGGCGGGCAACCCCTGGAAGCCGGACGAGGCCAGGCAGGCCCCATAGGGGAGAGCTGGCCCGCTGACACCCAGGCCTCAGACGTCTGGCGTCCAGAGCTGAGACCATTTCTGTGGTTTCCACCCACCCGGTTTGTGGTTCTGTGTCAGGGCAGCTCTAGAGAAGCATTTCGGTCAGGGTGGGGAGAAATCGCATCTGTACTGTGTTGAGTCTTGCAGTCCGTGGACTCAGTACCCTCTTTGAGTTCTCCCATCAACATTTTACAGTTTCCAGCATAGACACGTGTGTATGTTTTGTTAGAGTAATGCGCAAGTATTTCTCTGTTCTTTTTCTTTCCTTTTGGAGCTATTACCAAGTTTTGTCTTTTTGTTTCCAGTTGTTGGTTGCTAGCATATAAAACATGACTGACTTTCGTGTGTGAATCTTGCACCCTGCAATCATGATGAAGTCAGTTATTACTTCTAAGACTTTGAAAAATTATATTAATTGTTATAAAACATTCCGTGATACTTCATTTTAATTTAAAAAATGCAAGGGAAATACTGTTTTTCTCCTATGGAATGGCAAAGAGCTTTCTTTTTATTTTTTTAAAAAATATTTTTTTATTGAATTTAAAGAGAGAGGAAGGGAGAAGGAGAGAGAGAAACATTGCTGTGAGAGAAAAACATCAATTGGTTCTGGGATCAAACCCAAAACCTGGGCCCTAGCCGGTTTGGCTCAGTGGATAGAGCGTCGACCTGGGGACTGAAGGGTCCCAGGTTCGATTCCGGTCAAGGGCATGTACCTTGGTTGCAGGCACATCCCCAGTGGGGAGTGTGCAGGAGGCAGCTGATCGATGCATCTCTCTCATCGATGTTTCTAACTCTCTATCCCTCTCTCTTCCTCTCTGTAAAAAATCAATAAAATATAGATTTAAAAAAAAAAACACAAAAACGAAACCTGGGTATGTACCCTGACCTGGACTCAAACCCGAGACCTTTTGGTGCACGGGCCGGCTCTCACCCAACTGAGCCACGCAGGCCAGGGTGGCAAAGAGCTTTAAAAAGGAACAATTGCCACCTGCTGGGCATGTACCTTGTTTCCTTTTCCTATTACTGCTGTTAGGAATGAGGAGATGAATTTCGGATTCTGGGACATCAGCCTCTGACCCCTTTTCTAATTATGTCAGAGGAAAGGTTCCTAGGAGTGGGATTAGCAAGTCAAAGGGCTGACCCCTCCTCAGTGCTACACAAGCTCAGCCGCTTTCCAGAAACCTCAGACCAGCCCCTGCCCGGCACTGCACTGCGAACGAGCACTTTAAAGCTCTGCCATTGGATAGGAGAAAGACAGTATTTCCCTTGCATTTAAAATAGTCCTTTATAAAATGCCAGCCTGTCCCCCCTGTGCTCCCTTCAAAATACAGCCCGCACCCTGGCTGACAGGTGGGCGCCCCTATCAGCTCCCATTTACTCCCTTCATCCTCACATTCTGCTGCTTCCTCTTCCCACCTGTCCCGGGGGCCGCAGGGCTGGTCACTTCTGAAACTTACCACAAAACTCTTTCCGAGTGAAGGTTTTTTAATAACCTTTACCAACTGAGGCTCTTTGGGAGAATAAAGACCACACTCCACAGTGGACTATATTACTAAACATATAGTCCATTACTATTTTGTGGCCTACATTAAAAAAAAAAAACTCTTTCACCTCCAAGAATGCAGGGGTGCTCCCTCTGCTTGCCCCTCCCCAAGGTACCCAAGGGGGTACCTCGGAGAGGGTTAGAGTGGTGAATCTGAAGCCAAACGGGCTGCCCTTCACCCCAGCTCTGCTGTGTGGCCTTAGACAAGTTACTCGACCTCTCTGTGCCTCAGTTACCACACTGTAAAAAGACGGTAAGGATAGCAGCCACCTCATAGGTTGTTGTAGGATTAAAGAAGTTAATAAGGATGTATCAGAACTGTCTGGGGCTTGGGAGGTATTAAGACATCTTAGCTGCTACTATCATTATTATTCACTAGAGGCCTGGTGCACAGATTCATGCACCAGTGGGGTCTCTCAGCCAGGCCTGAGCCCTTTCACAATCCAGGACCCCTCGGGGGATGTCAGAGGCCCAGTGCACAGATTTGGCCCGATCCCCACAAGCCAGGTCGAGGGACCCCCACTGGTGCACAATCAGGGCCGGGGAGGGACCGCAGGAGGGCTCCCAGAGTGTCCGGACAGTTTGGCCCAGTCCCTGACCGGCCAGACCCCAGCAGCAAGCTAACCTATCAGTCGGAGCATCTGCCTCCTGGTGGTCAATGTGCATCATTGCTACCGGTTGAACCGTCAGACACTTAGCATTATATATATACTAGGGGCCCGGTGCATGAAATTCATGCACTGGGTGTGTGTGTGTGGTGGGGGGGAGTGTCCCTCAGCCCAGCCTGGCCCCTCTCACATACTGGGAGCCCTCAGGCATTGACCCCAATCACCCTCCAATCGCAGGATCGGCCCCTTGCCCAGGCCTGACGCCTCTGCCAGAGGTGTCCGGCCTGGGCAGGGGACCCTGATTTCCCCCCCCAACAGG